AGACAAAGACACCAAGAGAGAAAGTATGAATTAAGAGAAGAGACTCTAGGCAAAAGGTACAACAAATATTGTCATTAATGATAAAAATTTATGGTTTACACACAACTTTCACATATACGATATATTTTTTTGAATCTCAAAAATAAAACATGTTGAGAGAGCAGAGGAGGCATTACAATACCTATTAGCCAAATAAAAAACTAAGACACGAACTGAGAATTGGCTATCATCACCCGATAAACTAGTGGCAAAGTATAAATGAAAGCAAATGTTTTCTTTATATTTTCTTTTCTTTGCAATACATATTAGAAGATGTAAATATGATTTTAATTTTTAGAATAGACATTGGGTAATAAATGATTAGAGATTTGTCTAATGTCATGGAATTTTCCAGAAAAACTGTTAGAACTTTAGATTTTCTGAATCTGAAGAATCTGTATCAGAATGTTCTTTTTGGAGTAGTTTTAGGTTCACAGATAAATTGAGCATAAAGTGCAAAGAGTTTCCACAACCTCTATATAGATATAGCCTCTCCCAATATTAATATACCATTAGACTGGGTTACATTTTTTTACAGTCAATAAACCAACTATCAGCCAAAGGCCATAGTTCACGATAGGGTTCAGTCTAGGTGTTGTACAGTCTATGGGTTTTGCAAGCATACAATGACATGCATCAACCATTACAGTGCTGTATAAAATAGTGTCACTGCCCGAGTTCCACCTAGTCAATCCTCCCTCTTCACGCACCTTCCTTCCTTCCCTTTTGTTTCCTTGTTTATAACTGATCTGAAATTCTTAATAAATTTTCACTATTTAGGCTCTCATAGAGGAAAAATAAAACAACTAATTGCTGGCTTGAATTATAAATTTAATCTGATTAAAAAATTTAACGTGTTTTTAGGTCTGTTCTTACATATATCTTTTCAAATTTTCACCTACTGCCTTTCTTCCTCTTCACTATGATATCACTATGTGAAGAAATCATAGCCTCCCTTTGGGGACGGAGGATCCTCTGGTGTAACTCTGGCTTTAGGGTTTGTGCTGGGTGTTGACCCTAGAAGTGTGGTCCCCTCACATGGCCCTGCAGGTGCCCAGTGATGAGCTCTACGATGTCCTTCTCAAGTCTTTCAGGGCTAAGAGGCCTCCGGGCTCTACCAGCTCTTCCAATCTTGACTCTACTGATGAGGCAGACGTTCTAGAAATTTTTTTGTGACTTCTGCTTCTCCCACAGCCCACACAGTCATCTCAGGAACTCTCTATTGCAGAGCCATGGGGACTCCAGCACACTGCTCAGTCTATGTTTTCAAGTCTGCACTCCTGGCTGTGTGTCCAAACTTCAAACACCCACCTAGGACACAGAGCACTTGGCACTGTCTTGGTAGAGTGATATTTTGTAATAAGTAGTTATGTTAGAACAAGGACTTATTCCACCAATTTGACAATGTGTTAAACTCAAGAACTGGAGGCACCCTGTTCTCTAAACTGGTTTTCCCATCAACTTTTGCCCCAGAAGGCTAAATCACAATGCTGATTGTTTGGAAGCTAACACTAGGGACTCTCTTTCCCCTACTCCACTTTAATAATTATGTTCTGTGTCTGCTATGCTGGGTCCACATGGCTTAAATATTCACTTTGTAAGGGTAATAGAATGTAGCCGATGTGGCCACAGAGGCATAGTGGGGATAGAAAGAGTTCATAATGTTTTTACTACGCACTTCCTAGACCCAGACCATAAGCTCTGATTATTTTATTTATTCAATAGAAAGACTATGCCAAAAATTGTCACATCTAGTCTAATAATTCATTTTTTTAACCTAGATAGTTTAGCTATTTGGAAGCACTCCCACTCACACATCTTAAATGAAATGAATGAAAGCTATTCATTTTGTTATTTCTTAAGATGAATTCTTGCTATGGGAGAAAGAAAGAAACAAGCACATGTATGGCAAAGTAGAAAACGAGGCATTCACAGATGGGTTTGTGAGGAGGAGGGAAAAAATGATAAGAATACAGGAAATTCTTTCTGTAGACTGAAAGGGTTATGGGAGTAAAAGAAAAAACAATGGTTGTGGAAGCAAAGATTTCAAGTTCAGTCCATGAAGATATCCTATAAAACCATGAGAATTTAAGACGTTAAACTGTTTTTACTATTAATATAATTCCAAATATTCCAATTGTACATATATGTATCTCAGACTGATATAATGAGGAAAATATAGTTAATCTCTTAGTAACTAACTCAAATTCAATGTTAAAAAATAAGCAAAATTTGGATTCTCCAAAAATCTGACTATTAGCTACTTATTAGAGTTATGTGCTTTCCTGTACCCTGAATTTAAACAATGGAATTATATCCTATAATTTGAACTTCTAAATCTTTTTTTCATAGTAAAGTGAAGTATCTCTTGGTGAATATTACTAACATATTAATAATCTATCTGCTTTATTACTATTAAGCTATGTTTTTCATAGTACTCTACTTTTAATGGAATATTTGGCTTGAATATACAACTTGGGGAGACAAGTTTAGGTGTGTAGTTAATTGTGTTAATCGATTATTTTTCAGACAAATAATTGTTTCTTCAATATCAGTCCTGGATAAGTCTGAATTCTCTATGGAATTTGTAATCATCCATATTTATAGGACCTTTTACAGCCTCAAGTCCAAATTTCCATCAGCTCATCCAGGCAGATGTGTTAAAAACAAACAAGCTAAACCTTTGATCCATACCCAGTGGTTGAGAACCACAGTGCTGAATAAATGAGTTTAAATGAGTTTTTAATATCAATATTTGTGCAATCATATAAATGTAATCAATAAAAATATGGAGATTTTATGTCTCAAAAGTTCCATCCCTTTGTATAGGAATAGTTTTCATTCTGGTAATAAATTATTTTAATTCTTTACTGTGTACCCATCTCCCATGGATCTTGATTGTCATTGTGGAGTTTTTGCTTAAATACATTTTATTTCATATGTCTAGATCTAGGGAGTCATTTAAATCCCTTCAAACCAAAATAAATTGTTGGGAAAAAAAACATGTAAAACAGTTAAAGCCAACCACATTTACAATTTTTAATATGATTACAAGATGGTTAAAGAAGTTAAGAGTGAAGCAGGGGTAATTTCAACTGCAAAATGTAGTACTTGCACATATTTGGCCTTCTCAAACATTTCTTCATTTTATTAATTGAAATGACCTCAAAAAATAGAGTCAATGACTCTTCAGTTGGGGACAGAATAAGTTCTCTCATTTGAACAATTAGTAAGTTAACTTCAGTAAACTGAGTTTATGTTCATAATGAACTAATAAAATTCCCTGCCAAACCATGTTATAAACCTTTATTTCATTATAATAGCAAACAATTCAAATTAAACATTTTCAGTGAAGTTTCTCTGCATATGTGTGTATATTATTCTGGAAAAATAATTAAAATCACTTGCATTTAATAAAAATTTTGAATGCTGTTGTTATCTCATTAATATGGGAAAGCATTCAAAGCAGAAAAGTAAGTATAGGAAATTTGTAATGGGGGAAGCAAACAAGTGAATAATATTCAGCAACCTGCAGAGGGCTATTAGTTTTCCAGGGTACATGGGCTGTAACTGGCCCAATGATTAGCAGAGGTTCACTGTCTTTTAAGGTCTCATTAGGTTCTCTATGCTGGGAGACGTAATTCAGTGCACATAATTATCTATTATATGTTAATCTTCTCTGTTTTCGAATATCACTTTTCTTGAATTTAATTATGCCTGAAAAATGAGTATTATTTTATCTGTGTAATCTTATCAAATGATCATCAGTCAAGAAATGCTAACATTTTAAAAGAATTGAAAAGCTGAGTGTAAAATTAGGGTTTGCAGGAAAGTCTGATCTTTTGATGTCACAATGGAGTTCGCCTCTCTTTACTTCTTCTACCTTTTTTTTCCCTAAGATCCCCTCAAGTGAGTGATCCACGTGTTTTGATAATTTGTTGTTGAGAGTTGGAATTTTCCGTGTGTGACAAGTCTGTGATCCTCTCTTAATGGAGAAAAAGAAAAATTCTATCTATAAATGCTATTGTCTAATGAAAACCTCTGAAAACCTCTTTGTTTACATACTAAGTTCTAAATGAACTATATTTTTTAAAAAGTTAAATGTCCTACAGAAGCAAGGAAAATATACCAGAAAACAATGAAGTTTTCTAGAATCCCAAGGAAAATAATAGCCGATGAATATTTTGAAGGAATTATTAAAACATCACCAAGAATTTTTCCTGCCATGGGGTGTTCCATCTTGGCCCCATCATCTTTTTCAAATAATAAAAACTAGAAAATGATAACCACCACCACAACAAAAACTATATAAAACACAATTTACAATAGTGGCCCTAAACAACTAGCCACAGAAAACATATTTATTCTTCAAGTAATATAGAAATAGCTACCCAGGGTTCTACTTATGTACCATTTCAATCAGACAATGACACATATTCTCCACTTAAAAGATTTCTATCCAGACATTCATAGAAATATTTACTATACCTACCTCACAACAAAAAACCCACTGGGAGTCCCAGACTATCTCAACAAATAAACTATTCAGTAAAATGGATGAACAACAAAAACTAAAGCAACCACATTTCAAATTCATATGTTTGCTCAACCAGTAGACAACGTGGAAGATTCTCTTACACTTGTATCAATGCTAAATATAAGGTCTTCAAACACAGGCTTTATACTGACCACTATTGCCTCATCTCATGAGCTTGCTGCAATATAAAATCCCTGGTCCTTTTTTGTTTCCAACCAATAGGCAGTGCCATATTTTACCTTTTATGTAGAGATGATGTTGAGAAAGCTTATCTATCTGCAATGCTGATAGTTTTCAGTGGTTTTCAGTGAAGAGTAAAAATTTACAAAAAGAGTAACTTTGCACTTCTTATTTTTAGACCTTATAGTATAGCAGGTGAACTAGAAATATCTGGCAAGCTTTTAAAAACCATTTCCACTCTTACCTGTGTTACAGCAAACATTGTCTGAACTTGATCATGTCTCGCCCAGGGAGGCAGTCAGTCCTTAAGTCTTGAGCTGTTCACTGATAGCAACTTCAGTTGGTATCTACAATCTAACTGCAATGATTTCAAACTCTACCAAAACATCTGGATATTATTCATTGGAGCTACATTCTTAATCTTATTGGCAGCATGATATCTGAAACAGAAAAAGAATAGACAGATATGTCACACTAGAAATGGATGCAATAGTCATATGAAGTTGGCTTATGGATTCCTAAGTTGAACGTGGACATTTCCATTATTAGAACAGGAATAATCATTTCTGATCTAGTAACAGACGCATGAGTCACATGAGAAGAGAAAATCTATAATGAGTATGACTACATGATCGCTCTTCCCTTTTTCCCTCACACCATTCTACGTGCTGTGTAGTAAAGTAGTGCTTAAGAAGATGTGCTGTTTTCTCTGTGCTTATTTGTTAATTCATACCCCTCTTTGTCAAACAAGGATTATAAAGGGCTGACAAAAAAAAATACTTATGGAATAGTCAAGAGAAGTAGTTAGAATTTCAAAACAAACAAGAGAGAAAAAAGTTAAGATAAAGTCATGGATAAAGATGAAAATGAGAAGTTGAGCCATAAGTTTCTATTTACTAGGGCATATATTGCATTCATTCGTTCATTCATTCAAAAATACCAGTGTTTACTGAGGGATAGTTATAGACCTGGTAGCACTTGCACAGGAGAGGCAGAGTTGGTGAAGGTAAAGTTCTTGTCCGTCATTAGGTTACATTCTAGCAGCAATGTAGACTCAACAAAAATCATTTCCTATCCGTACAGGTTGTGTCAGATTTTTATCTTTGGAGCTATGAAAACATTGAGAAGGAAGGATCTCCTTAAAACTGGTGATTCAAGAAACTGAAGTTGATATTAACAAACAGGTCAGGGCTCCAACGGTAACAATCTTTCCTTGTTCAGGTCTGGCTTAAGAAGCTTAGGCATGCTCCAAACCTCCTCAGTAATATCATAATCATTGCTTTTGTGGTATCTTATCTTAGTGATTTATAGTACTAATAATCTGATTCTGTTCACACTGAAAAAAATATATTTTCAATCAGAAGGAATGCATAAAAAGCAAAACAAAATCTTCATTGCGAGCCTAGAGACCCCTGTTCTTGATCTACACTACCCTGCTCCTGCTATCATCACCCATTGTGTTTCAGCAGGGACCATCCAAAAATCACATCTCCTATTCCAAATTTCAAGTACATTGTGAACTTTTCTGATCCTCTAACAAGAAAGTAAATCAATGATTTCTTTTCCTTCCTACAACAATTTCAATCCTTTTTCAAATTGAACTTTGTGCCATTGTACAGAGACACTTTTTAGGGAAAACACTTTTTCCATAAACGTTGTCCCTGCAGTAGATACATATGGAAAAGCCTAACATTGAAAACCCGTGTCACCTAAAGCAAGAACTTAATATACTGTATGACCCTCTATCCTATTGTATATGAAATATAACTTTGTATAATTGGTTTTCACATTAATTTTGAGTATATATTTTTCTATGAAGTTATTGAAACAAAATATTGATATATTCATAAAATGCTTTCATTCATTGTAATTTTTAGTTGACCTATAATATTTATTGCTCAAGTATGTCAAATTCCAGTGACATGGAACAGGATCTATAAACTTTTCTTGTAAAAGGCTACATAGAAGATACTTGAGGTTTTTCGGGATGCTAGGCAAAATCAAGGCTATTATGTAGGTGCATATATAACCATTTAAAATGCAACTACTTAAAATTTTTAAAACCATTCTTAGCTTGCGTGCTGTACAAAAATAGGTAGTGAGCTAGACTTCATCCATGAGCTGCAGTTTGCTGACCCCAGATATAGAAGCTTATAACAGGAGGGGAAAATGGCAGATTAGGGGTGACCTCCTGGAGCCCTGCTCCCTGAGTAGGAGGTGAAAAACGCAGACAGCTACACATGACTGTATTGCTTTCTCATAAGAACAGCATCCTGAACCTGCAGAGAAGCAGAGTGGGACAAGCAGTGCTGGGGGAAAAAAGGTAAATTGGATAATCGACGGCAAAGTCTGGAGAGTGCGAGATATACAATAAGGAAAAAGCAGGCGGGCTGGGGACGGCTTCACCCCTCAGCCTGCTGGGGCAGTGTGGTCTGACCCACAGGAGGACGACTCTACCTCCACCGACCGCCACGTCCACACAGGCAGGGAAGCACATGAAGTCAGTGCGAAGCTGTGGCAGGGGCAGCCAGGCTGTGTGGAGAAGAGAAATTAGTGGGAAACATTTTGAACTCTGCAGTGTGCTGTGCTAGGTCCACACTAGGTGGGGAAGGGACTGGTCTGAGTGGACACTTCCCGAGTCTGCAGGAGGGAGTTTGGAGACAGGCATCTCACCTCTGGTTGTTGCTGGGACGAGAACAATGGAGGTGAACCCAGAAAGGGAGGCTCTGCCCCTGGAAACCACCAAAGATTCCGCCAATGCAGGGTGGGACAGAGAGTACAGGACCCTCTACTGGACTAACGTGAGTCAGTGCATCAGGGAAGCAGTGGGGGCAGCTGCAGTTCATTGAGACAGCCTGCCAAACCCAGCACTGCTGACCCCCAGTAGTCGCCTCCAGGGCTGGCTCTCTGTGGGGGGGCAGCCGCCATTGTGGGGGTCCACAGCCTAAAAACACCATGGCGCATTGTGGTTCTGGGCACCACCTCTTCCCCAGCCCAGCACGGCAAGCTCAGGCCGTGCCCCTGCCTAGCTGAGCAGGCCCCAACCTTGGAGGAAGGGAGTAATGAGAGAAGCCACTTTCTGAACATTCCTCCCCCAACCTGACCACTTGCCTTTTCTTGCCAGCAAGTCAAACCCCACCTTTGCAGGGGCAAAGTAGCCTGACAAGAAAGAACACAGGAAACATAAAAGATCAGAGAGAAAATTCACCCCCAAAAGAAAACATTATATCTCCATCAATAGCTACCAACTTACGTGATATGATTCAACTGACAGGGGAAGAATTCTGAATATGGATTGTAAGAAAACTCAATGGAATTGAATAGAAAATAGAAACCCAACATAAAGAAGCCACAAGAACAATACAGAAAATGAATTAAAAATTCCCTAAAGAAATTGAAATACTACAGAAAAACCAAACAGAAATTCTGGAAATGAAAGACGCATTTAGGGAACTACAAAACACAGTGAAAAGCCTCAAGAACAGAATGGATCACACAGAGGAAAAAATCTCAGAGCTTGGAGATAATGCCTATGTGCTAAACAAATTGGATGAAGAAAAAGAACACAGAAATAAGAGATAAGACTAAAACATGCAAGAAATTTGGTATTAAGTAAAGAAGCCAAATTTAAGAATCACAGACATCCCAGAGCGAAAAGAATAAAATACACAAGGGCTGGAAAACTTATTTTATGGAATAATGGAGGAGAATATGCCTGGCCTGGCCAGAAATCTAGATATCCAGATACAAGAAGCACACAGAACTCCTGGAAAACTCAATGTGAAAAGGCAATCACCACATCATGTAGTTATTAGGCTAACCAAAGTAAACATGAAAGAAGCAATCCTTCAAGCAGTGAGGCAAAAGCACCAGGAAACATACAAAGGAAAACCCCTAACTGCAGAATTATCAACTGAAATTTTATAAGCCAGAAGGGCCTGAGTGCCTATTCTTAATCTTCTAAAACAGAATAATGGACAACCTAGAATTCTCTACCCAGCAAAGCTAAGCTTCATCTATGAGGGAAAAATAAAGACCTTCCCAAATAAGCAATCACTGATGGAATTTGTGAAGACCAAACCAGCCCTACAGGAAGTGTAAAGACCAGATCAGCCCTATAGGAAGTACTCAGACTGCATTACATATGGAACAGTGCATTAGACACTCTCCAAAGTAAAATCACTCAAGAGTTAAAGTCTAGAATCTGGATTCCACAATGGCTTAAGGAGCAAAACAAAACAATAGGAATTCACTCAACAATATGAACATAAATCTACTCCAAATATCAATCCTCTCAATAAATGTGAATGGCTTGAATTGTACTCTGAAGAGACATAGACTGGCAGAGTGGCTAAAAAATCCACAAGCCTAGTATTTGCTGTCTACAGGAACACATCTAACCCACAAAGATGTTTTCAGGCTCAAGGTCAAGGGATAGAAAACAATCCTCCAGGCAAATGGAAGCCAAAAGAAAGCAGGGGTAGCTATACTTATTTCAGATAACATAAGCTTTAAAATAGCAAAAGTAAGAAAGGACAAAGATGGCCACTATATAATGGTGAAAGGGAAGATCCAACATGAATATTAATCTGTGCTCACATTAGAACTTGATTTGACTAAAGTAACTTTAAGGAACATATGAGACTAGGTCTTAAGAGGCCAAGAAACCTCCAATTACAGCAAAGTTGGGCTAGGAGTCCCTGCTTTGTGCCACCATATTGTCTAATACAGCTACCAACTCTTAGAACAGCAAATTTGCCTCAGCAATGTGTCAATGAAAAGCTCATCAGAAATTAGTGACATTTGGGGGATACATGTTATACCAAGCTCAAATAACATTTTACCCATGTCAAAGAGAAAATTTTGTTCCTTGCACCTAGTGGCATTTTTGTGGAGGCAAAAACCTGGGGTCTGGAAAACTATGAGGGTACCAAGTTTGTTGTTATAGACAAGAGGGTTTTTAATATTTTCTATTGCATGATTCCTTGTGTTTGTGCACCCCCAAGAAAGAAAACCACAAATCATTGACATATTAAAGGGATTTTCTTTAAAATAATTAGATCTGTTTTCTAAAATTACATTCTAAAACAATCCTTATTTTGAAATCAGAACATACAAAGATGAATGGAAAAATAATACTTTAAGTCAATTGCTGAACAACACCTCAGTTATAAATATATTTTGTTTATTGTTAATGACAGTGGTTATCACTGGTCATTCTGGACCATTGACAATCTCTCACCTGAAAGTCAGCGATATGAATCATTTTTTCAAGGGCCACAGTGAACTAAAAATAAAAAATTCTGCATCTTGAAGATATTTACCCTGGCTTAAAATCTACTAACTTTATGTTTGCCGTGGTTTAAAATCTACTAAGTTTAATCCATTTATTACTATACAAGTGTGCAGCTGAGATTTCAAAGGTGGGAAAGAATGTTTA